TCATGCCCAAAAATAACTGCCCGAAATAATGTCGAAACGACTGGTGCGGCTGTGCGGCTGTCTCAAAGTTATCCCGGTTGGATTTCCAAGTGGTCAAGACTTTGGCGTCGAAAGCTCAATGCTCGGCCGGGATAACAACGTGGAACATTATCGCCTGCCGCGTACCTACAGCCGTCCGCTAGTAGCGTTGGGTAAGTGAGCGAGAGCAGGGAAGCGCCTTAACGTATTGGCAGTTAGGCTGTACCGCATGCACGCCTGCGGACGGGTTGCCTCTCTTCTCAGACTACGACCCTGACGTCCCTGTTTGTAGCCACACAGTTAGCTACAACCGACAAGGCCACAGGGCGCTTTATCAGAACCGACTGTAGAAATAAGCCCACTTGAGTGGCTCGTCCCCTGGAGTTTCAGCCCGTATCTCGCCTCTATGGCTAAGTCGGTAGCGCGCGCGCCCAGAGCGTGGGAGATCGCCGGTTCAAATCTACATCGATCTGAAATTTTTCTCAGGGCCACCAAATTTCAAATGTACTTCAAACCCGTCATTTCACCACGTCACGTCCCCCGCTTAAAGTTCCGACGGCGACGGCGTGGTAATTGCCGTTCTGGTGGCACTGCGTCGAAGGTGACAATACCGGGGTTCGACTCACGGCGAAAGCGAGCCGTGGGAGTTCTCTGGTTCCTGTCACTTTACTGTGGTAGCGGGTGCGTTTATAAGGCCTAGACCTGGCTGTAAAGGAGCTCCATGACCTGTACCTGGGATGGGTCAGTCCAGTTTAGGGTGCGTCCTTTTCAGCTAACTTCCATCGCGCGATCACGTCGATCACGTCGATCGCGGCCGAGCTCGATCGACGCGCCGCCTTCTAACGCCGCTGCAGAACGTTGCTGCGCATGCGCAGAGGGTTCGCGCCCGACCGTTTCCTCTCCTGCGCATGCGCAGCAACGTTCTGCAGCGGCGTTAGAAGGCGGCGCGTCGATCGAGCTCGGCCGCGATCGACGTGATCGACGTGATCGCGCGATAGAAGTTAGCTGAAAAGGACGCACCCTAAGGGTGCGCGTGCGCGTCAACGTGCGCGTCAACCGTCTATCACAAACCCCGGGAGTATGTTCTGGCCACTGTGGTTGGAAGCGGCTGATCCCCTTCCGAACTCAGAAGTCGCCAAGACTGCGGGCGTGGCTCCCTGGGCCCCTGCTAGTAGGCAAACCCACCAACACTCCTGCATACGCCTGCGTCTGGCCTACCTACGCTCACGCTGTACCTTTTTTCACATTAGATAGTACCGCATTCACGCGCGCGCCTTGCGAGTTGACTACCTCCCAAAACCTGGAGCTGGAGCTCTCTTTGCCTCGGACTACACTGTCACACGTTCAGTGCGACGTGACCACATAGTGGTCACGCTACCATCATATGCACCAAAAATAAATGAGCACCACAACACGTTGTTGAATGGGGGTGCACTGCACAGTCAGTGCACGCCAGATTCGTATGATGCCACCCAAAACTGCACGCAAGTGTGCACATCAAAATTAAGGGCGCGATTGTCACCCACCTTTGCACGTGTTACATCCGACATCCGACAACTCTCCTGGCACCAAAGGCCGCTCCTGGCCCACAACCGCTGAAGACCCTGTGGCCCGCACTAGACATTTTGATACTTTTATGATCTCTGGAGAAAGCCGTTCTTGTACGACCATCGGGACCAGCACAGCAGCGAGGAGGCGTCGGACCGCGTCGGACTCTTGGACTCTCACGAGTTGGACGGGACCGAGGAATGCATCCCTTACAATGTATGGAGAAGGGCGTGGACCACCTGTCGACGCTAACTCGAAACGTTTTGAAGAAATTTATGACCAAAAGCAGAATCAAAACTCGCATTTCACGCTAGCCTAATGATTGAAAAATGTTTAGATGAGGTTTTGTGTTTCGTTTTGTAAAATATATTTATTCTCCCGTGAATATGTACAGTTTTCAGTTTTCGGGTGCCGGCTCGGCAGGCGCGCGCACCCGCCATTTACGTAAGTGTAACTCACATCAACACTCGCGCTCGCACGACTCGCACACCCTGGGCGGCTCGCGGGGCGGGTGGTGGCGGGCGGCCTGCCTGGCGTGCCGGGCCTGCCGCGCAGTCAGCACGGGTCACTCACCCCGCGGGGGGGCGGGGCGTCGCGCCGGCCTTCTGCAAATCTGTTCCACCGCCGCCAGTCTCCGTCTGGCACGGATGGAAAACGCACTACGTATAAGGTTCTTACGAACGACTGCTCGGCGTAACGTTCAGGTGAGGATTCGTAGACT